GTCGTGGATGAAGTCCGGCTTGCAAAATGGCGCAGCAGGAGAAAGACGACAACGACCCTGAGATCGTGGCGTTGCCGTTTTCTCACGACGGGCGATTTCGCCCGCTGTCGGGCCCAGGGGCCCTCACAGATCGATCCAGCTCGAAAAGTGCAGCAGAAAGATGGGGTCTGGTGGTCCAGTCGTCATTCTGTCCACGATGTTGTAATTTTTTCGCGTCGTCGGATCTCAGGATGCGACGACGACGAGGACCCAGATCTACGACGATATGATGTTTCCCGTCCTGGCGTTTTTTCTTCGATTTTCCGGCCTCCGGGGCCCGCTTTCGGGCCCCATGGGGACATCAAAAGCGGATCCGGGACGAAAAAACTGGCCCCAGGGACAGGGGTCCTCCTCCTCCTCCTCCTCCTCCTCCTCCTCCTCCTCCTCCTCCCTCCTCCCTCCCTCCCTCCCTCCCTCCCTCCCTCCCTCCCTCCCCCTCCTCCTCCTCCTCCCTCCCTCCCTCCCTCCTCCTCCTCCTACTTGGGGTCGCGGATTGAAAAAAGTACATCGGTGGATGTATGGGTTCCTTGTTTGCAGACTTCTGTAGACTCTTGAAGAAGGCTTTCCAGCCTCGGGCTGCTTTCCAGCAGCTGCGCCTCGCCGAGGGCGTTCCAGGGGTGCCCGGATCGTCCCGAACGGCCGCCAGGGGCCCGAGTTAGAACATGTCAGAATTACGCATCCGCCATGGAGCATCGGCTTATGAACGAGAACTCCACGAAGAGCGAGTCTTGGTGAAAGTAAGGGGTACACCGTTCAGCGTCCACCAATTTTCAGCCCGGCCTGGTGCGGTGCTACTAGTGGTTTCCAGGTGAGCGCATAATCAGACACCAAGGAGCTGCAGGGGGGGGCGGCGTGTTTCTTCCCCAGAGGCCCGGGTCGCTTAATCGGGCGTCCTGCACAAAATGGCGATTGTTTGTTTGTGGACAGGACGTTACAGGTGCCCCCATGGCACGTGGCCGCCGCATGGCGATAGTGCAGAGGGCTTCGATGCACGTGCATGATGCGTGCTCCTGGTGGGGACAGACGGAACAGATACAGTATACATGCTTGAGACGAGGCGCGGCACGACGGTGGTGAAGGATGGCATTGGAGAAGATGGAGAAGTAAGAAAGTGGTGCATAGCGGGGGCACGGCGGGTGACAAGGAAGTGAGGCTGGAGCCTCAGGTGCGTAAAGAGAAATTGGTGCATGGCATTTCGTGGTGCCCCATGCAGGCAGGGCTGAGCCATCAATTTTGCTTCAGCATTTGGGAGCGAAGCAGCTGGATGGCCTGATTTGCTTGTCCGTGGCACTCCTCTCGGGTAGATTTTGGTTGCTGACTGTCTGGCGCCCGCTCTGTGCACTTCCAGGCTTGGGTGGAGCCCTGGCCTGTGAAGCGGAGCCTTCGCGCCCCAGGTTTATCGCGCAACAGTCCAAGCGGTGGCACAAGTTTCTGTCGTCCCCACCGCTTCTCTTGTAGAGTTGTGCATGGGTGCGTCGCCCACGCTTGGAGCTGTTGACTTGCGCTGCGCTGCCTCAAGGCACGTCGTCGCCCGCAGCGCCACCGCACTCGATGTGGACTCCAGGGTCGAGGGTTGACAGGGCCCCACCTCCCCCCCAGATGGGATGGGCCCCAGGCTTCCACAGCCCCCCCCCCAGATGGGACGGCGGGGGACGACGACGACGACGACGACGACGACGACGACGACGACGACGCCGACGACGCCGACGACGACGACGACGACGACGCCGACGCCGACGATGCCGACGCCGACGCCGATGCTGATGCCGACGCCGACGACCCCGACGCCGACGCCGACAGAAGACGACGACGACGACGACGACGACGACGACGACGACGACGACGACGGCGACAACCCTCCACCACGCCACGCCCACAGGGCCACGACCACAGGGGGCGGGGGGGGGGGGGGGCGATCCCATTCGCGAGGCCTTCGCGAGGCTCACGGGCGTACCCTTCCAGCGGGGGGCTGGGCCCGATCCTACTAGCATTGGAGGGGGGGGCTGGAGCCCAGGATCATATATCGCACGATGATTCTTAAGGATCGTGCCATCCCCACTGCTTCCAAGAGGAGGAGGAGGAGGAGGAGGAGGAGGAGGAAAAAGAAGAAGAAAAGAAGCAGCAGCAGGGGGGCAGTGGGGAAAGGGAGGAGAAGGAGGAGGAGGAGGAGGAGGAGGAGAAGGGGGGCTGGCGGAAGAGGAGGATGAAGCAGGAAGGGCAGTTGGAGGAGCGGGGGGCGCAGGAGGCAGGAGGAGACTCGTCAACCTGCTGATCGCATGCATGCACTTGGGGTGCCCACTATCTTTCTATTCCCTACCTAGGCTCTGCCTTGAAGGGTCCTTACTCTCTTGGCTTAAAGGGCCGGGCAGTGGGAACCGGCCCAGCCGGTTCCCCCAGTATCCGCCCGCGGTTACCCCAGTTACGTCCCCTTAGCTTAGCGTTGCTTATCTCATCTTAGCTTAGCTTATTTAATATTAGCTTAGCTTTGCTTCATCTTAGCTCAGGTTTATCTTAGCTTAGTGTACCTACGTCTTAGCTTCGCTGAGCTTTAGCATAGCAGAGCACAGCATAGCATAGCATAGCGTAGCAGAGCATAGCGCAGCATAGCCTAACATAGCACAGCCCAGCATAGCATAGCATAGCGCAGCATAGCATAGCACAGCATAGCATAGCGCAGCACAGCACAGCACAGCATAGCACAGCGCAGCATAGCATTGCACAGCAAAACCTGCCCAGTACGCTTAGCATAGCACAGCGCAGCATGACATAGCATAGCTTAGCATAGCATAGCATAGCATAGCAAAGCGCTGCATAGCATAGCATAACATAACATAGCATAGCATAGCGCAGCATAGCATGGCATAGCATAGCATAGCATGGCAACTAATGCTGCTTTCCTAGGGACTCCAACTTCTAGGTAGGGTCGCACTGGGGTAATGTTCTCGTTGTTGCTGCAGCGTGGACATCAAGCCATACGGGTTGGAGTGTCCAGACGGTGGCTGGGTTCCACTGCATGGCGCGAACAGAGACCAAAGATTTGGATGGACAACCATCCCATGCTGGCGGCATTCAGTTCGAAACCACCAATCATCGCATGACCTCTGGAATGGGGAGGACGACGAGGGGAGGGAGGGCGGGGACAAGGACACCCCCAAAGACGCGGAAGGGAGGGGTGTACACGCGTTCCCCTTTTGTGTCGACGGTCTGTGCGTGAGCTGATCACAGGAAAGAGGAGGAGGAGGAGGAGGAGGAGGAGGAGTAAGATGGAAGAAGAGGAGAAGGAGGAGGAGAAGGAGGAGGAGGAGGGGGGGAGGAGGAGGAGGAGGAGGAGGAGGAGGAGGAGGAGGAAGAGGAGGAGGAGGAGGAGGAGTTGGAGGAGGAGGAGGAGGAGGTGGACGAGGGGA